AAAAAAAAAAAAAAAAAAAAAAGAATGGATAAATAAATAAATAAAAATTTAGGTGGGCATTGAATACAGTTTAAATACATTTACTTCAGGTGAGTGCAGGAGTCTCTGGAAATTCCCCATAAATCTGTAGTATACTAGCTTCACCCCTACCTCACTGAGACTCATCCTTTTTCCCTATTTTAATTTTTCTTTTTACTTTTAATTATCTCATGACATGATATGTGGTTTCTTAATTAATTTTCTATATATAACTTTTCTCTTTCTCTGTCCTCCGTAATCTAAACAACTTAGTGATTTGTTCACCGAAGTGTTCCCAGCCACTAGGGCAGACCCTGGCACCTCAACTTCACTCCATAGATACTTGGAGAAAGGAAGAAAATCTCGGTGACTACTCTGATCCATGAAAGGGGTCAGAGCCTAAGCAAGCAGTCTCTGCAGACCTGACTGGGCAAAAGCTGAGACTTCACCAACAAGCGTTCATAAGTTATGCTCATGTTTCATGATTACACATATGTTCCAAACTGAAATGCTGTTCTCCTGAATGGAGTGTGAGTGAGCACTGGTGAGCTGCGGACAGAGTGGAAGACAGGAATCCATGAGAGAAAATAGAACATGTAGAATTGGAGGAAATAGTGTTTAAGGAGAGAAATCATAGGTATTTTTTCCTCAGATGAAGAAAAGAGAGGGAACCCAAGATTAAACCTTTTTCATCAAAGAGAAAAGTTGCTACGTTTTTTTCCATCACCTAGAAGGAACAAAGTAGAGTAGGAACATGTATTGGAAGCTTTAATTATACTTTTTTAAACTTTAAATTTTGTTTTTTGTTAGACGACGCTAAAGATTCAAATTAATGGGTAGATATGATTTCCCTTGGTTAAATACTAGATAAAGTGCATCATTTCAGAGTTTTAAGAAAATAACCACATGACTTGCAAACCAAGTATCTTCACCAGAACTTGGGAGGCTGAGGCAGGAGGATTGCCATGAGTTCAGGACCAGCCTGGGCTACATAAAGCATTCTGGGCCAGCCTGAACTATATAGCAAGACCCTGCCTCAAACAAACAAGCAAACAAACAAACAAATATCATCAGGAGGGTGTATATTCCTATTTTATTTTCTAAAGGAGAAGAAATTAATTTTTAAATTTTTATTAGTACATGTTTGAAGTACATAATGATTATATTTGTTGTTGATACATTTACATAACATACTTTAAAATAAAAGGAAAATTAGTTGGGTTTGCCTCAACCATAAAAGCACAGAAGAAATGACAAAATGACATAGATCCAAATACAGCCAGGATTTC